CGCCGTCATCTCCTCCTTAAGAGCTGCCAGCTGCTTCTTCACCAACTCGTAAATTATAGTGCCAATCTCTTGAGTATGCACCTGCACCTCCCCAGTGGTATTGCCCAGACCCTTCTGCAGAATTTCCATCTGCACCTTCGTCGCGTCGTTGGCACTTGGTCGATCGTGATCTCGTCGGTGTCAACCTCGTTGCGCCAAGGGAGCGCGTCCAGCTGACGGGACCGAGAATTTAGCTGCTCGGGCCCCGTCGTAAACTCGGCCAGCTGCTTCTTCCGTCGGTCTTGCCAAGATCCTGCATGTGGACCCGAATCCCCTTGATAGTGGCAAGAGCTTTCTTTGCACTCTACTCCTACATAAGAACGCATTGGGTGTTGCAAACTCCGTCCCGCAAGTGCACCTCCGGCACGCCCAAGCTCTTGTCAAGGTCTGTCGTGCACTTCGTGGTGCCGAACGCCTACCAATCGTACTTCCCAAGCACGTGATCTGCCAACTCTTCTTTCATCTCGCTGATCGTGTCTGGATCTGTCTTGGTCATCTCCACTTTCGTCACGTCGCTGGTCTTGTCAAGATTCGTCGTGCTCTGCGTGGTGCCCGGCGCGTGCCCCTCGGACTTCCCTAGCATGTGGGCCCGCATTTTGATGCCCTCACCCTCTTACACGGGGTCATCAGAACCGATGTCGAAGATCTGGGGTTCCTCGTTCTTGGTGGGCGCTTGCCCGAGCATCAGCAAACCATCCACGAGCTTATCCGAAACCGTGTGGCTGAATATCGCCGACTAGAGGCCGCTGTGCGTCACCACCGCGCACGGTGACATACATGTCGGCACGCCAGACCCGATGTCGCGGCACTTCTCTCGGGAGCGGCCGAGAGGGGGGTATCCAAGAGGGGGGGGTGCAAATCATGACGGGCGGCATGTGCGCGGCCCAGCGGGGGGACCAGGGACGTAATGAAATAAGAAGAAGCGCCATGAAATCTGAGGAAATATCATGGCCCCCGCCACGATATCCCCCCCCCTAGTCATCGCCCCCTCTTTTCCGCCCCCGATTCTCGACCAAGTGCACCTTGGTCCGGTGCCGTCCTCAAGCCGGAACCGCCATCACGCGGGCATGAACCTCCGGGGCGGGGCGCGCAGAGACTTGGGCCCCCCGTGGCATGAGTCAGGAGGAGGAGGCGGAGGAGGAGGACGAGGATGAGGATGATGATGCTGCTGCTGATGGTGATGAGGATGAGGAAAAACAGGAGGGGATGATGATGCTGCTGATGATGCTGATGATGATGAGGAGGAGGACGAGGAGGAGGACGACGAGGAGGAGGTCTGGGGGGGATGGATGGATGGAGGGAGGCAAACGACCCTCTGTGACTGCAGCGAAGAGAACCCTCCGTGGTGGCCACCCCGCGCCGCCGGCTGGGGTGCAGCCGCGAGGGGGGCGCGGTGGCCTCTGCGGTGCCCGAGCCTCCTGCGGTCGCACCGGCCGGCGCCTCGGCGGCGCCGCCGGGGGCGCCTCGGCCAGCCGGCGGGGGGGGTGCTTCGCAGCGAGGCATCGTCCACCCCCGCCTCCTCGCTTCGCCCCCCCCACCCCCTCCCCCTTTGGGGCCTCCAGCGCCGCCTCCTCCGCCCTCTCTGCTCTCCCCCTGGCCTCCCGCCTCTCCGCTCCCGCTCCCGCTCCCGTTCCTTCTCCTCGTCCTTCTCTGCGTCCTCTTGCCCATTCATCGTCCTCCTGCTGCTGCTGTTTCCTCCTCCTCCTCCTCATTTTGCTCCTCCTTCCCCGCAAGAAGACTGTCATCATGCTCCGCGCAAGGCTTCGTCATATACTGGCCATCCAGGGTGCCGACATTTTGTTTGAATTGTGATACGCGCTGAGCGGAAGGAGTGCCGCCTTTTCTCTGGAACCCATTCCGATCTGTACCTCTCGGACACTCTCAGCGGTCTACCTGGATCTGATGCATCTCAACAGTGCTGCTGATTCCTTCGTCACTCATGTGGCCGACCTCGGTCAATTACCGCCGCGCGTTGTTGAGGGTGCGATTGCGTTGATGGATCGGGCCGATCTCACGCACAAAGCTACCGCATGCTTGCAAGCATGCGCCTTGCCACGCAACCTTGCCAAAATAACTCATAATGGACCATGCTTTCCGTGTCCTCATGGCGGAGGGCGGCCAGTGGCACTTCTTGGCCGCTCTTCGCATGAGCTTCGGCCCGCCATCTCTGGCTGGAGGTGCAAGTGATGCCATCACTTTCAAGTGTGAGTCCGACAGCTTCCTGAGCGCCGACACCTCGCGCAGAGCCCAGCTGCCACAAAAGTCCCGCAGGACTGGGAGGTCGCCGCCACAGCCGCGAGCGTGCCCCGAGAGGCCAGGGCGCAGGGGGCTCCACCTGCGGAGCCCAGTACAGCCCAGAATCGAATCGAGGAGGAGGAGGAGGAGGAGGAGGAGGAGGAGGAGGAGGAGGAGGAGGAGGAGGTCGGATCGGCGATCGAAAGGAATCGGATCGGCTGAAATCGGCAGCCGAGTCGGGAAACATCGAATCGGCGGAACTCGGCGGGCTAGTATGCGTCCAAAAAGAAATCGGAACACACATCAACATCCCATCGAATCCAACCGTAACTGGAAACCATCGGAATCGAATCGTATCGAACCGGAGGAGTCGAAATGAGCCCTGATCGGCGACTCCAAAGGCTGTGGTTTGCAAAGGGTGTGGCTTGCAACAGGCACCCTGGGGAACATCCTGGGGGGAACCCTGGGGGGCGCGCGGGGACCTCGATAGAGTTCTCCCGCGCCCCGAGGAGGCCCGACGAGGACAGCGTCGTGACCCTCAGGCCCCAACGGTGCCGATCGCAAACCACACCCCGGCGTAACCATACTCGGGAGCGGCCAAGAGGGGGGTGTCCAAGAGGGGGGGCGCAAATCATGACCGGCGGCATGTGCGCGGCCCAGCGGGGGGGCCAGGGACGTAATGAAATAAGAAGAGGCGCCACAAGATCTGGGGAAATAGCATGGCCCCCGCCATGATATCCACCCCCCCTAGTCATCACCCCCCTCTTCTCCGCCCCCGACATACCCTTCGTAGTCGCCGACCCGAGGACCCCCCGACCGCGAGGACGACGAAGACCTCTCGGGGACCTGCTGACCCGGGTCAATCCAGACCCGGGTCAGTCAGGCCTTGCAAAATCCTGCAAGATCCTGCACCCAAACCCGGGTCAATGCGAAGGATCCTGCCAGACCCTGCAGGATCCTGCACCCAAACCCGGGTCAGTGCGCCCCTGGCCCTGCAGGATCCTGCAAGATCCGGCGCTCTGGCCGACCCCCGTTTGCATTGACCCCCGTCCCAAGGCCCCCGAACCCCGCACCACGACGGACGCCCGGGCACCGAGGTGCCGCACGAGGCGCGCAGGGAGGCCCGGGGGCGGCGGCGGCGGGCGAGCACTCGCAGAGCGGCGAGGCCCTCACCGCCTACCGCGCACGGGCCCTCCCTGCGCCGGGGCGTGGACTTGGCTCGGGCATGTCCCCCTCCAGGCGGAGCTTGGAGGAACAGTGAAAAATGGTCCACTAATGCCCCAGAATACTCCAAAGATACTCGAAACCTCGTCCCCAGACTATTTTTGGACTCTTTCTGAATATTCATTCCTCCCCCAAACTATTTTTTGACTATTTCTGCATATTCCTCCTGTAGGAGGACATGCCCGACTTGCGCGCGGACCGCCTCCGACCCCTCCAGCGATGCTGTCTGCAGCGCCTCGAGGCCGCGGACTCGTGCGACCCGACCTGCTCGTCGCAGCCGCGGCGTACTGGGCAGGGCCGTGCCCTCTGCCAAGGTGGACGCCCGCACGCCCGCAGCACCGGCTCCTCGGGCGAGCCAGAGCGGCCCCCCCTGCAGCGTCCCTGGCCGACCCGATCTCCGCGCTCAGCCGCCAGTGGCGAGCCCAGCGCTTGCCATCCGCAGCCTCGTCCGCGCAGCAGCTGGCTCCGCCAGGGGCGCCTGGCCAGCGTGAAGTGGGGCATGTCCGTCTGCAGGAGGAATGTTCAGAAATAGTAAAAAAGAGTCTGGGGAAGATGTTTCAAGTATCTTTGGAGTATTTTGGGGCATTTGTGGACTATTTTTCATTTTTCCTCCAAGCTCCGCCTGTAGGGGGACATCCCCGACCTAAGGCCAGCGCGGGAGGGGAGAAATCAGAAGGTACCGACACGTACCGCTACTCCCTGGACCTCTCCTGGGGTGCGCTCTGGCCGGCATTGCGAGGCGAATCCAGCGGTGGCCACGAGGGCCTCCCAGGCGGCCCCAACGGGGGGAAACGAGGAAGGGTAGAGGTATGGGTACCTCTTCCTCCTCTGAGGGAGGGGAATGCGGTGGACGACGTGGCCGCCGCCGCTCGCAGCACGCCATCGGCCGCACGGATCTGGCGCGGACAGCACGCAGCTCCGAGCAGCCCGTGGCAAGCCCTGCCGCCGCGTGCGCCGCGAGGAGTGCGCCACGAGCAGCGCTCCAGAGCAGCAGTGCGACCGCACCGTCGTCGCCGTCGTCGGGCCGCTGCGGCTGCTCCCGAGAGGCGCACGGTCGGGAGGAACGCAAGGCGGCCTGCAAGCATTCGCAGCTCACTGGTGAGGTCGTTGATGAATGCCCTTAGGTGCGCCTCCGTGTGGCCGAGTTGCCCACCCGAGCACCTCGCTCATGGCTCTTCGCGGGCAAGCACGTGCGCTGGACCTATGACGACCGTTGGATCAGTTTGGTTTTGCGGATCATGCTGCAGGTGTGCCTGCTGGTTGCAGCATCTCCGGCTGCTAAACTCGTCCTTCGGAAGCCAAAAGCCCAGCACAGTTCATCAAGCAACGATTATCAGCGTGAAAGATTGACTGGGGCCCTCTCTGACGAAATTGTGCAGGACTTGGGGACATGAACCCAATAGTGCAGACATTAATTTTGAGGTATGCATAATTGCGCCCTAGGTGCTAAACCCTTTGGATCCACGGCTTGTTAAGCATGCTGCAATAACTCATTTCCCCCTCAACTTTGAAAACAGATACCGTCCCTGATCGGGTTGACGGAGCAGGTGCAAGAAGATAATCATTCCAGAGGCGGAACACGGAAAGCGACCAACATCCAACCAGTGTCAACTTCACACAGATGGAGGTCCTTCGCTTCGATGTCCTGCAGCATCCACGACAGCACTCGCCCTCGCTGCCTCGTCGTCGTTTTTCTCTTCCTCATCTTCTGGGCCCTCCTCCCCCTCCTCCTCCTCCTTTTACTCCTCCTCCTCGTCCTCCCTCCAGCTTCCTCTAGAATTGCTCCCTCCCTCTTCCTCTAGAGCTATTCAATGAAAATACTGCTCTCCTCTTTTCCCTGGTGACGTCCGGGAAATATTCGGCCCCCCTCCGCGTTCTGTTTTTTACACACGGGATCATCTTCGTTTTTTTTTTTTTGAAACGCTGGCCTCATTTTCGGGCTACCGCTTGTTCCGAATAGTGCTCCCGCTGCAACGCTGGCCTCATTTCCGCGCTTCCGCTCGTTCCGAATCGTGTTCCCGCTGCAGCGCTGGCGTCGCTATTTCCAACGCCGTGCCGCGGCATGGTTCTCGGTCCGCCCAAATGGGCACCAAAATCTAAAACTTTGCCCCCTACAGAACCATCGAAAGTGATCACACATTCGGTGCCGATTCGTTGATTTTTGTGCCGCAGAAGCGCCCCCCAGCCAATTTGGGGCTTCGCCACGCCATGCTATGTCAGGCTACGCGTCCTCCGATTCGTGCTCCCGCTGCAACGCTGGCCTCGTTTCCGCGCTTCCGTTCGTTCCGAATCGTGCTCCCGCTGCAGCGCTGGCGTCATTATTTCCAGCGCCATGCCGCGGCATGGTTTTCGGTCCTTCCAGAAAGGCCCCGAAATCTTAAACATTGTCCCCCGAAAGAACGACCGGAAGCGATTGCACATTCGGTGTCGATTCGTTGATTTTTTTGGCCGCAGAAGCCCCCCCTGCTCGCCCGCCGCAGCTTCCCCCGCCGCCGTCGCCGTCGTCGTCTGCGTCGTTGTCGCCGTCGGCAATTTCTGTGCGTTCCCTGGAGCTTCCGAAGTCCTCGGGCCATCCGCCGCGCCTCGTGCAGAGCTGTCTGGGGAGCCCAGGGAGACTTGGAAGGGGGCTCGGGGAACGCAAGGCAACGCGTCGAAAGGAAAGGGGGTGGCCTTACGCTATTACAGTACCCCTCCCAGACGGCACTTGGCATTCGAAAACGCCGACATTTGGCAAGCACGGTTGCGCAAGACATGGAGCCGGCATTCCGGACAGGCCTTCTCTTTTCGTACACGGTCCATTTACCCTCCAAGGCATCCGGTGCTATGCAATGGCATGCAATGTGTTGTTGCGTTGTGCTCCGCTGTGCGATGCCATGATTTGCGATGTTACGCTTTGTGATGCAATGCTACACTACGCAATGCCAAGCCATGCTATGACCTGCTCTGCTCTGCCGCGCTCTTCTACACCATGCTATGTCGTGCTTTACCATGCATTGCAAACCCTCTCAGGATCATTGCCTTGCTCGACATCAGCCTGTTCGCATAAAGAGGAGATCTGCGCCATGGTAAGGGTTGGGAGGGAGGGGTATGACGACAGATATGACGCGAGCGCACCTAGCTTGTCCTCCTCCCCCTCCCTCCCTCCTCCTCCTCCTCCTCCTCCTCCCTCCTCCCTCCCTCCCTCCCTCCCTCCCTCCCTCCCTCCCTCCCTCGGGCCCCGCGGCGTCGACTGATGGACGCGGGGAGCAGCAAGCAAGCATACAGTCCGACTTCATTGGAGAGGACACGCGAGAGGACACAAGACCATTCCGAGGGCCACATTGCCACAAGAATGTAGGAAGCATGGGTCGCGAGGCACAGGACACAAGGGTACCCTTGGACTGGCAAGGCCGACCTACGAATCCGTGCCGACTGTAGGAGGGCCGCACAACCGCCGGAGGCCGGCAGGAGCGGCGCGTGCTCGGAGCCCTGACGAATGCTGCCTGCGATGCCACAGACACGGCTGGCACGCCTGCTGCTCCCCCGTGCCTCTTGCCTCCTCCCCCTCTTGCTCCCTCTTGCTCCTCCCCCCCTACCTCTTGCTCCCCCTCCCTCTTGCTCCCCCTTCCTCTTGCTCCCCCTCTCTCTTGCTCCCCTCCCTCTTGCTCCCCCCCTCTTGCTCCCCCCTCTGTTGCTTCCCCCCCTCTTGCTCTCCTCCCTCTTGCTCCCCTGGCTCTCCTCGGCGGCGAGCGAGGGGGCAAAGGAGGAAGGAAAAGGCTTTCTCAGAAGGCGGCGGGGCTTCTCAGAAGGCCCCCGACCCTCTGAGAGGTGTTCTGTGCCCTCGGAGAAGGCCCAGCAAACTTCTCCAAGGGCCAGGGGGACTTCCGAACCTTCTGAGAAGGCCTTCTCCTTCTCGCTCCCTCCCCGGGCTCGCGGCCGTCGGCGGCCCTCGTGGCCTTCCGGGCCCAGCGGGACGCCGAAGCTGAGCTCGTCCAGCAACTCGAGCGGGTGGGTCAGTTCCTCCTGCCAGGCGAGGGCCGGGGCAAGAGGCGCTGCGGCGACCCGGATGGGGCGCAGCCTCGTCTTCGCGTGGCCGTCACATCCGAGGAAGCCTCCGACACGAAGCCCTGCTCGCCCGAGACGTTTGACGTGACAATTCAGGACTCGGCATAGGCGATGTTTTCGGATTTTGCTTTGTCATTGTTTTCCTCTCGTGTTGTCTTAGTTCCGCCTTTGCTGCAAAACAAAATCATAATGAAAGCTGCCCACGAGCCGGCAACAACACCGTTTAGGTCGAGCCCTTTGACACTTCAAATGCTTAACACCATGTTGTGTATGTCCGTGAACGACTTTCATGTCATCAAATGGAATAGGAAAAGGTCACGTCTGACGTTGCCGAAGACGAGCCGCTCGGGAGTCTCGTTGGCAACACGTTTCGCCTGTACCTGTGCCCATTTCAGTGCCCAAAGCCAAGCAACTTTTAGCTTCTGGACCCATTCGACGCAACTCGGCCGCCACGCGGGGCCATGCGTCTTCGGCACGCTGCGAAGAAGTCCGTGCCAGGCTTTAAGCCAGGAGTGGGGGCTGGGCGTCTGGCAGACCGTCGGCTGAGCATGGGTGGGCCAGTGCACGGGGGGGTAAACATCGGCCCCGAATCGGCGATGCATCGCCGCTGGATGTCGGCGATCTGTCCTCGGCAGCGAAGCCGCGCGGCTCTGGGCGGGTGCGCTGACGAGCCCCACATCGGTGATCCATGGGGGCGCTTGGGGGTCGGTGCGCTGCGGGGTCGCGGCCTCGCGGGGCCCGGCCCGCGGGGGCGAGAGGGAAAGGCGGGAGGGGAGGGAAAGGCGGGAGGGGAGGGAGGGGAGGGGAAGGAGGGTGGGGAGGGAGGGGAGGGGAAGGAGGGTGGGGAGGGGGGGGAGGGGGAGAGGGAGGGGAGGGGAGGGGAGGGAGGGGGAGAGGGAGGGAGGGGAGGGAGGGACGGGGGGGGAGGGAGGAGGGAGGGGGAGAGGGAGGGAGGGAGGGAGGGGCCGCGTTCCTCTCTGAGCAAATCCCCCCCTCTCACCCTGCCCCTGCGGGAGGGAGGCCCCGAGCTCGAGGCGAGGAGCCGAGCGCGAGGCGGGGAGCCGAGAGGAGGTGAGGACGCGACCTCCGCACTGTCCGCAGCCCAGAGTCCTGAGGACGAGGCGCGGGATGATGATAATGATAATGATGATGATGATAATGCTGCTGCTGATGATGATGATGATGATGATGATGCTGATGATGATGCTGATGCTGATGATGATGACGATGATGAAAATGATGATGATGCTGACGATGATGAGGAAGAGGAGGAGCAGGAGGAGGGAGGAGGAGGGAGAGTAAGAGGGAGGGAAGGAGGTGCGACACCGAGTGCGAGCCCCCCACCACCCTCGCTGAGCCACCGAGTGCCTGCACGCTGCAGCTTGGGCCCAGCACGTGCCTGGCCAGGGGTGCTGGCCACGTGCGGATCCCGTCGCCTGGCCCCGTGGACTCCATCCGCGCCCAAACATGACGAAACCAGGGCGAGGATCACCCCTTAGGGTCTTTGGACCCCCCCATGCAGTGGAGGCGAACTATCGTTTCGACGCCCTTATTGCCGAACCGAGGGCCACCCAGTAGCGGAACATAAATCGTCACCCGCGGCAACCGCCACACAACAACGACGACGACGAAATGAAACAGTAGTAGTAGTAGTCGTAGTCGTAGTCGTAGTCGTAGCAGTAGTAGTAGTAGTAGTAGTAGTAGTAGTAGTAGTAGTAGTAGTAGTAGTAGTAGTGGTAGTAGTAGTAGTAGTAGTAGTAGTAGGAAGTAGTAGTAGAAGTAGAAATATAAAGTAGTAGTAGAAGTAGTAGTAGTAGTCGTAGTAGTAGTAGTAGTAGTAGTAGTAGTAGTAGTAGTAGTAGTAGTAGTAGTAGTAGTAGTAGTCGTAGTAGTAGTAGTAGTAGTAGTAGTAGTAGTAGTAGTAGTAGTAGTAGTAGTAGTAGCAGTAGTAGCAGTAGTAGTAGTAGTAGTAGTAGTAGTAGTAGTAGTAGTAGTAGTAGTAGTAGTAGTAGTAGTAGTAGTAATAGTAGTAGTAGTAGTAGTAGTAGTGGTAGTAGTAGTAGTAGTAGTAGTAGTAGTAGTAGTAGTCGTAGTAATCGTAGTAGTCGTAGTCGTAGAAACAATACTAATCGTTATAATACTAGTCGTCGCAGTCGTCGTAGTAGTTGACATAAATGTAGATGTCGGAGGTGAAGGGGTGAGATCGAAGTGGAACAGAGAGCCCCCCTACTGGGAAATCGGTTTCGGTTTCGTGTTCGTGCGTGCCGTGCGTGCGAGGCGAAGCTGCGTGGGCGGGCGAGAAGAAAGTCTCCTCCACCTGAGGCGCAGCCGGACCAAATGATTCCTTTCAGGGGGCCCGTGGCCCGCAGTGTCCCGCCGGTGTCCCGCCTCCGGCTGAGGCGCGGCCGGACCATATGTTTCCTTTCCGGCGGCCGGTGCCGCGCGGTGTCCCGCCGGTGTCCCGCCGGTGAACGGTCGGTGTCCCGATGATGATGATGATGTTGATAATGGTGATGGTGATGATGATGGTGTCCCGATGATGATGATGATGGTGACGATAATGGCCATGGTGGTGATGATGATGGTGTCTCGATGATGGTGATGATATTGATAATGCTGATGTTGCTGATGATGATGGCGTCCCGATGATTGTGATGTTGATGATCGTGATACAGATGATGATGAGGTGATGAGATGATGAAGATGCTGATGATGAAGATGATGATGGTGTCCCGATGGTGATGGTGCCGATGAGGTTGGTGATGATGCTGATGGGAATGATGATGGTGATGATGGTGGTGTCCCGATGCTGATGATGTTGATGACGATGATGGTGCCCCGATGATGATGATGTTGAAAATGAGGACGAGGATGAAGTGGTGATGATTACGATCTGGATGATGGTGGCCAGATGATGATGATGCTGATGTTGATGATGGTGTCCGGATAATGATGATGGTGATGCTGATGATGGTGGCGATGGTGATGTCCCGATGATGATGTTGATGATGATGTTGCTGCTGATGATGATGGTGGCCCCCCGATGATGATGCTGATGTTGTTCATGATTATGATGAAATGGTGATGATGATGGTGGTGTTCCGATTCTGATGATGACGACGATGGTGTCCAGATGAACATGATGTTAATGATGATGATGGTGCCCCGATGATGATGGTGATGATGGTGTTGCTGCTGCTGGTGATGGGGTGATGATGATGGTGCTTGTGTCCCGATGATGATATGTTGATGACGTGGATGACGATGATGTTGATGATGATGACGTTGGTTGTGCGATCGGTTTTGATATCGACAGTGAGATCGATAGTGAGACCGATTGAGAGATCGATCGTGGGGTCGACTGTGAGATCGAGAGTCAGATCGATTGTGAGATCGATCGAATGAAATAGATCGAGTGGGGTCGATGGTGGGATCGATCGAGTGAGATCGATCGAGCGAGACCGATCGTGAGATCAATCGTGGGACCGATCGAGTGAGACGTTGGTTCCTCCTCCCCCCCGAACCTCCTTATCACCCGAAGGGTGGTCGTATAGGTAGCTGTATATATAGATGTCGTGGTCGTAGTGATAGTCCTAATGCTAGTCGTAGTAGTAGTAGTAGTAGTAGTAGTAGTAGTCGTAGTAGTCGCAGTAGTCGCAGTAGTGGAAGTAGAAGTAGCAGTAGTAGCAGCAAGCGTAGTCGTGGTCGTGGTCGTAGCCGTCATCGTAGTAGTCGTGCTAGAAGTACTAGTCGTAGTCGGCGTGATAGTACCAGTCGGCGTAGTAAACGTACTAAGCGTCGTGGTAAAAATAAACGCAGTAGTAGTAGTAGTAGTAGTAGTAGTAGTAGTAGTAGTCGTAGTCGTAGTAGTAGTAGTAGTAGTAGTAGTAGTCGTAGTAGTAGTAGTAGTAGTAGTAGTAGTAGTAGTAGTAGTAGTAGAAGTAGTAGTAGTAGTAGTAGTAGTAGTAGTAGTAGTAGTAGTAGTAGTAATAGGGGTCGTAATGGTAAACGTAGCAGCCGTCGTCGTAAAAGTAGTAGTCGTCGTAGTAGTCTGTCCTAATAGGAGTGGTCGTAGTATCACAAATAGTCGTCGTAGCAAAAGTACTGTACTAGTAGTAACAGTAAAACCAGTAGAAGGAAAAGTAGTTGTAGCAGTAGTAGGGGTAGTAGTCGTAGTCGAATTCGTCGTCGTAGTAGTAGAAGCCGCAGCAGCAGCAGCAGTAGTATTTGTAAGTAGTAGCAGTGGTTGCTGTAACAGGAGCGGTAGTAGTAGTAGTAGTAGTAGTAGTCGTACTCATCGTAGTAGTAGTCGCACTAGTAATCGTAGTAGTAGTAGTAATGGTAGTAGTAGTAGTAGTAGTAGTAGTAGTAGTAGTAGAAGTAGAAGTAGAAGTAGAAGTAATAGTAGTAGTAGTAGTAGTAGTAGTAGGTAGGTAGGTAGGTAGGTAGGTAGGTAGGTAGGTAGGTAGGTAGGTAGGTAGGTAGGTAGGTAGTAGTATTAGTAGTGGTGGTGGTGGTAGTAGTAGTAGTAGTAGTAGTAGTAGTAGTAGTCGTAGTAGTAGTGGTAGTAGTAGTAGTAGTAGTAGTAGTAGTAGTAGAAGTAGTATTAGTAGTAGTAGCACTACTCATGATAGTAAAAGTGGTCGTAATGGTCGTAGTGGTCGTAGTAGTCGTAGTCGTAGTAGTCGGAGTAATCGTGGTGGTAGTAGTAGTAGTATTACTAGTAGTAGTAGTAGTCGTAGTAGTAGAAGTAGTAGTAGTAGTAGACATCGTACCCTTCGTAGTGGAAGTGGTCGTGGTAGTAGTAGTAGTCGTAGTAGTAGTCGTCGTACTAGTAGTAGTAGTAGTAGTAGTAGTAGTCGTACTAGCCGTAGCCGTTGTGGTGGCAACCGTAGCGGTGACAGCCGTAGTAGGAAACGTAATGCTAGTAGTAGTCGTAGTAGTAGTAGTAGTAGTAG